ATCCTAACACTGTTTAATGCTGCAGCATGACTGGGTTGCGTTAACACCTTTGATTCTTTGGGGTCCCTTTCCCCTCTCTAAATTAATACAAAAGGCCTCATTTGCATAATAACTGAGCCCCGGAGGTAGTGCAATATAAATGGGGAATTAAGGCCCAGAGCCTCAAAGGGATTTAGGCACCAGAGTCCCACTGAAATCAAAGGCACCTAAATATCTTTCCAGATACAGGCCTAAGAGACTTGCCCAAGGTCACACAGGAAGTCTGTGGCAGAGCAGGGAATTGCACCCACTAGCCTAGATCACCCAAGTCTTCACCTAGTGCTGCTAACCACTAGATCAGGCTTTTCTCATCTGTGAAATACGGGCACATGGATCTTTACCGCTCACGAGGGATGGGGAGGGGTGAGAGGCGCACTCAGTCAAGGTTTCCATTTCCACACGGCTTTGGGCTCTTTGGCATTACCGTGACCCTGACCCAAAGGGCATGTTCTGCCCTCACTTCCTGGCCCGCACTGCCAGAGCAATTGTCACGGGCCAGCGCCTGATCTCCCGCTCGTTTTGTACTGATGTTACGCCACTGGGCTCCCACATCACTTACAGCATCGTGCAGGCGACTGGAATCCAGCCCGAGCGGAGCTATTCCAGATTTACACTGGTGCAAGCAAAGAATCCAGTGGAGAAGGTCTCAGAAGCCTCTCGCAGGCGCTTAGTTTTTACCCCTGTGTCCTCTCTTCTTTTCCCATTCATTGGCACGATTTAGGGCCCATCGCTTCAAGCTTCATGCCCTTCTGACCCTCTCTCTTGTCTGCCAGGCCCTCGCTAAGTGGCACATCTGAAAGGAAGCCCACGCCGCTGACAAAGGTTGCTGCTTAGCCCACTGTTAAGTGGCTGGGGCAATGGATGAGCCATTTAATCAGGCCATGGGAGAGGTGGTGACCGTGCCAGGCTAATGAATTCAATAACCGTAAGGTTTTCAGGCCCTTGTCCCAGCAGATGAATTTATGCCAGGCGGGGAGCCATTAATTGAGCTAATGAAGGTGAGGGGTCAAGGTGAGCGGCGCCTCTGACCGATTTCACTATCTGTCACTCTGGCTCATTAGCGCTGAGCCACTAACGTGTTCGGAGCGTTCGGGCCCGAGGGCCCCCCCCCCCCCCCCACCAATGATTCAGCACCGCGTTGGAAAGCCAATTGCGCACAGAGTTAGCGATTGCAGATCAGCATGGGTGGAAGGGGGCTCCTTTGGCTCAGGCCCACGGCAGGGGCTTTGTGGGCCCCCCTGCAAAGTGG